TATATATATATATATATATATGTATATATATGTATACATATATATATATAAATAAAATAAACTACTTACTACTTGTACTACAATCTACAATTCCTATGTCGTGGTTTTTCACTTATCCCGGTTCTTCAGGGTACGGATCCCCCGCGATTAACGAGGGACTACCACTTCATCATTTCATTTGCAGAGAATTAAATTGACCTCTAACAGACAAGTTTGCAAATGTACTTCATGGTAATATTAAAATGAAGAGAAGCTTGAATCACAACCCAGTCAACTCAGAACTGGTGCTTTATTTGGGACAAAGCCCAACATTTCCTGTTGTTACCTATTTACCTATCTATTACTGTACCCCTACTCATGTCCCTACACCTAAACGTACCTCTTAATCCCATTTCTAAGTGTATACCTATCCCCATACAAATTTCTCGACTTGTCAGAGTCCGCTTTAACAGCACGCCTAGTCAGTCCAAAAGTTTGCTCAACTCGTGTGGACTGATACATTTAGCAACCTCTACGTAACATGTGTCAAACTCAAGGCCCGGGGGCCGAATGTGGCCCTCGTTGACATCTTGTCTGGGCCCCAAGATGTTATTTCAAATGTAAAACACTTTTATCTCTTTAATTTTTTCAGTAATCTTTGATTATGATGTCAAAAGTGCAACAGATAACGTCAAATGAGCCCAATCAAACTCTTGTTGAGGAACCTGCAACCAAGAAAAGATGTTGGTATCTAATTTGAGTTAATGTAGATTCTGAAACCGGCCCTTAGTTTGAAAAAGGTTTGAATTTTGGCCCCTTTTTGTAAGTGAGTTTAACACCCCTGCTACACCATTAGCATATCTACACTCGGTTACCTAACCGTTAATGTTCTTAAGATGACAAAACAACAACAAACATTAGCTTGTTGTTGTTTTCTCATCAAAAAGGGTGTCTTGCTATAGTGTAGAGGTTCAATCAAGTTCAAGTCAATTTCGTTGTCATTCACATCACATGTGGTACATGAGGTGAAATGATGTACTCAAAGTTCCAGTTACACCCAAAAATAGCAAAAATATAAAATATAAAAAACTGTATATAAGGAGCTAAGATATACACTAAGATACTAATATTATTAGCTAATCCTCTCACACAGGTATTTTTATTTATTTTTGAGAAACACATTTTTAACTCTGAAAAAACAATACAAATGGGCCGTCATACAACTAGCATTTAGTCAGCCTGGTCAGAGACTTCTGTCCTGTTTTCATACTCGGTGCTCTTTGACTGATGCCACAGTTTGAGTTCCTAATGATGAATAACTATTGGACAGAACATAACTTTTAAAATGACCAGACTATCCTTTAAAAAAAAAGAAAGCATTAAAAAATAAAAAAATAGCATTTATTTCATGCCAAATTTCACATGAAATATGCTACATAATTAGTTGATGTTCTGAGTGCATCATTGGCATAACTACCACGTATTGACTACCATGCCAAGTCATAACTCGGTATTAGTAAAAATGACAGGATTCTAGTAATTTCTTTACGTAGTTTAAAGCTGTGACAGCCATCTTACATAAGGATGACCCATAAGTTGATCAGTTTTAGAAACACAAATCCAATAGTAACTCTGGGAAAGTTGCATCAAAGTGTATTTAGTGGTTGTGAAATATTTTGCTAACTGACAGATAAACACACCCACAGACACACGCATACACACTTTTAATAGCGCTTAATAGCAGCGGGCTATAATATTTGTTGTAGTTTAGAAACACAAGCTAGCCCACTCCCTGCATCTCTGCAGGAATGTGCTGATTTCAGGATGTAAGGCTCATTTGTTTTTCTTGGATTTTCACATGTAGTTGTGACAAAATTTAATATCAACTGTTTCTAAAATGTTTTGAAGTATAAGAAAAAATATATTTGCAAGAACAAGACAATGGATTTAACATGTATTATCCATCTGTGGTTTTCTTGTGGTGGGACTGCACACCAATGGAAGTCAGGTCATTGGCTCACTGGGGGTGTGTATTTGTGTTTGCGTGTGTGTGTCAGTAGGATATTGGCCAAGTATGAGTGGGAAACGCTGTCATTCTTACATAAACAAGCCTGATAGGCGGGACAGGCTTTTGGTGGGCAGCTTTTCCTGGGTGAAGGCTAGAAAAAGAGGGCAGAGTTAAAGAGTTGTGCACCAGGGGACACATCTGCACATCTGGCTGTATTGTCTTGTGATGATGGTGTTGGATGGTGTGTGTGCACAAGTGTGTGCTTGTAGGCGTTTTGTATTCAAGTGCCAAAGAAATATTGTAGATGTGGACCTGGCCTACAAACCAGCTCCACATGTCCTCATGAGGGAACTTCGGCCTTGTTTTCCTGTAAACACAGTTTTTCTCTTCTTCAGCAGAGGAGGGAAGAAGGGGCCTACTCTCCCATCTCCTCCTCATCTTCTCCTCTATCCCAGATTTTTCTCACTTCTGTAGCCCTCCTCATTCCCTCTTAAACCCCTTTCCCCTCTTTTTATAACCTTTTTTTATCAAGAAAGTCTGTTTTTTTACATTTAGGTTGGGGTTTCTGGGGAGGTAGCTGGTGTGTTTTTGTGTATGTGTTGTTGTTGCTAAGAACCAGAGATTGCTTCCCCTCTCTGCAGGGAGTGAGTGTTTGCTCCTTCCTTGGAATGCAGGCCTGTGAAAATGTCTGAATAGTTGGAATGTGTGTTTATCTGGATGTGTATCAATCAGTGTGTGTTTGTTTGAGTTCATTAATTTGAACTGGAACAAAGTGAATGTATGGAACCAGTTCAGTTCAGTTTATTTCGATAGCTCCAAGCCACAACAGAAGTCATCTCAGGACACTGAACAGAAATATTCATACACATAAAATAATTTAACATTATTTATCAGAGGAGCAAACTGCTTTCAGTTTAACTCCATCACAGAACGCTCATCTTGAGCAAGCATGAAGGCGACAGTGGAAAGGAAAAACTCCCTCATAAGGAAAAAACCTTTAGCAGAACCAGGCTCAGGACAAGCGGCCATCTTCTTCGACCGGCTGGGTTTGGTAGGAACAGATACACAATGGCAGGTCAAGAATCACATGTTAACATTTGTAGAAATTCAGAAATTGTTAAAAGCTACCCAAACAGAAAACCTTGGCTGAATGCAGAGGTGCGCACCCTGCTGGAAGCCAGGAACACTGCCTTCAGGTCTGGAAACTCAGAGGAGCAGAGTAGGACAAGGAAAGAACTGGTTGCTGGTATTAAGAAGGCCAAGGCCACATATGCACAGAGGATTGAGGGTCAATTCATCTCACAAGACCCTCGGAGCATGTGGGGGGGCATTAAGTGCATAACAGATTATAAAGGAAGGAGTGAACAATGCCCCAAAGACCCATCTCTGCCTGATGCCCTCAACAAGTTCTATGCACGCTTTGAAGACCTGAACAGACCACCCAGCACCAGACTCGCCTCACCAATGGATGAAGAGCATCTCAGCGTGACCTCAGCCGAAGTAAGGAGTAATTTCAGGAGGATTAATCTGCACAAAGCAACCGGCCCAGACAACATCCTCGGAAATATGTTGAAAGAATGTGTTGGTCAGCTCTGCGAGGTGCTGGCAGACATCTTTAACACCTCACTTACCCTGGAGACAGTTCCCACCTGCCTGAAGACTGCCACCATCGTCCCAGTCCCAAAAAGCTCTACAGTGACTGGTCTGAATGACTAACGGCGCAGAAACTGTTTTCAGTACAGGTTGAGAATTTATGTTATTTTGAAGTTGTGTGTATGTATGCATGTATGTATGTATATATATATATGTATGTATGTATATATGTATGTATGTATGTATGTATGTATGTATGTATGTATATAT